AATTACTAAGTAGACAAGAAATATCTGTTGCACTGAGTGAAACATATTCAAATATTGGTCCCTACAAATTGGGGACCTAAGTAACTAGCCTTATTTCAACATGAGCTATGTGTTCTAAGGATATCTGAAAATGAGGTTTCTTATGTAGGTGTTAAAATATCATTTAGGTACTTAACTCTTAATGTCCAATTTTGAAAATTTTGGACTGCCCAGCTAACAACTCATCTTTTCAAAAGGTAAATAAATGATGTATAGATGTGAATATGATATAGATGAGATATGCAACAGTATGTTACAAGATAAAATTAATTATTTTCCCTTGACTGAAAAGAATGATTATCCAAGAATTTCTTCTGCCATTCCATTAGTGCATATGGGTAACATGCACTCTTGGATGAAACCCCACCCCCCCAAACCCAAAACATTGTGTTCCATATACTTTTTAGAAGTAGTCTAAATAGCAATTTCTTTCTGCTGAATATAATTATATATTTTGATGAAAGTTCTGAAAATTAGAAGAAACCAGCCTTAAGAGAACTACAGAAATTGTAAGTAAATCAAATGGTACAGTAGGTAAAAAATGAAATATTTTTTTTTAAATGAGATCAATATACTCCTGTTCAGGTAAGACACCAACAAGTGAAGTTTCAAAATTTGGTCTAATTTACAATTGATAAAAACTTATAGTAACATTTTGCTGGGTTCAATTATCTATTTATTAAAAACTCTGATCTTGTGTTATAAACACACAAAAGCTCCAGAAGATATTAGCTGTTGTATCAGACTAGTCAATGCAAGCACTTCCGGTGAGTACATCTAGAGCCAACGCAAGCAATCAACTATGTGGCAACTTTATTGTGATGTAACTTGGATCAGCCAAAGTTTATAGTGTAGACATAACCTCAAACTGCTCAACATGAGCTGAAACCACACCTTTAGTTAAACCAATGCAACTTTCTTGTGTGGACAAGACCTAAGTGCCTTTGAAAGCAGACAGGACACAGCCTCCCTTGTCACTTTTACATAAGAACATAAGAATGGCCGTACTGGGTCAGACCAAAGGTCCATCTAGCCCATTATCCTGTCTACCGACAGTGGCCAGCACCAGGTACCCCAGAGAGGGTTGACCGAAGACAGTGATCAAGCGATTTGTCTCCTGCCATCCCTCTCCAGCCTCTGACAAACAGAGGCCAAGGACACCATTTTATCCCCTGGCTAATAGCCTTTTATGGACCTAACCTCCATGAAATTATCTAGCTTCTCTTTAAACTCTATTATAGTCCTAGCCTTCACCGCCTCCTCTGGCAAGGAGTTCCACAGGTTGACTACACGCTGTGTGAAGAAGAACTTTCTTTTATTAGTTTTAAACCTGCTACCCATTAATTTCATTTGGTGTCCTCTAGTTCTTCTATTATGGGAACTAATAAATAACTTTTCTTTATCAGCCCTCTCCACACCACTCATGATTTTATAGACCTCTATCATATCCCCCCTCAGTCTCCTCTTTTCTAAACTGAAAAGTCCCAGTCGCTTTAACCTCTCCTCATATGGGACCCGTTCCAAACCCCTAATCATTTTAGTTGCCCTTTTCTGAACCCTTTCCAAGGCCAAAATATCTTTTTTGAGGTGAGGAGACCACATCTGTACACAGTATTCAAGATGTGGGCGTACCATAGTTTTATACAGGGGCAGTAAGATGTTCTGGGTCTTATTTTCTATCCCTTTCCTAATAATTCCTAGCATCCTATTTGCCTTTTTGACCACCGCTGTACACTGTGTGGAAGTTTTCAGAGAACTGTCCACGATAACTCCAAGATCCCTTTTCTGATTTGTTGTAGCCAAATTAGCCCCCATCATACTGTACGTATAGTTGGGGTTATTTTTCCCGATGTGCATTACTTTGCATTTATCCACATTAAATTTCATTTGCCATTTTGTTGCCCAGTCACTCAGTTTGGTGAGATCTTCTTGGAGTCCCTCACAGTCTGCTTCTGTCTTGACTATCCTAAACAGTTTGGTATCATCTGCAAACTTTACTACCTCACTGCTTACCCCTTTCTCCAGATCATTTATGAATAAGTTGAAAAGGATTGGTCCCAGGACTGACCCTTGGGGGACACCACTAGTTACCCCTCTCCAATCTGAAAATTTACCATTTATTCCTACCCTTTGTTTCCTGTCTTTTAACCAGTTCTCAATCCAAGAAAGGACCTTTCCTCTTATCCCATGGCCATGTAACTTACACAATAGACGAAACACAAAGCAACAAATATTCTCTTTGCCAGAGCTTTGTTGATCTCTTTAATGACAGTGATATATAGTTGTAACAGCTAAAATGAGAACCTTGTCTTAGTATAGCAAGATCTATCACCTTGAGATGACATTAAAATATTTGGTCTTTACTGCAACAAAATACATGTAATGACAAGATAAATGCTACCTTTTGGGGTTGCACTTTGTATCTATTATAAAGTACTGTAGAGAAAATTTCTGTAAGTGCTGACACTGATTCAGTTACAGTACTGGGAGTGCAACTACTGTCAGAACTCTGTGGCTTCTGACATTTAATCTCTGTAATTTATCAGAAGTGGCTCAAGTTCATGTTGGCGATCCCACTATTGCTAGCACCAAAACAGTTAAACCAGTGGTAATACCTGAAGGAATTTGTCTTAAGAACCTAAATGAAATGAAGCCAAACAGGTTTGCACTTAGTAAAGAAAGAGTGAAACTAAATAATATCTGTCAAACAGAAGTAGAATGCTGTGCTATGAAATGTGTGTTTTGGTTTTGCATTTTTAAGAGGTAAATTTAAATAACATTGTAACCAAAGTTGCAAAGATGTGCCACCAGTAATTTCACTGAAATAAAGTGTCTTAAGACAGGAACTCTGTGAAAGAGCTTAGAATCACTTGCAAATTCTGGGAAAATCCCTGCCCGATAGAAAATATGTGAACCAATGTGGGGAATTATTGCATTCAAAAGGCTTCCCTTATATAATAGAGCAACTAGGAAACTGGCTCTACACAGCACCTTTCAATAGGGAGAAGATTGTCCAATTGGCCAAGAGAAAAGCAACACTGTTTAAGGGGTGTCAGGGAGGGGGGAAAGATCAGATCTTCTGCAAAAGGGGGAATGGGTCAGAATGGTGATGCTGACTCATCCCCTGGGGCTGGAAGGGCTGAAAAGGGACAAGCATGGGTGGAGATGCAAAAGGGGAGGGTTGTGGAAGCCCCCTAAGTAGTTACTGAATGCACTGTACACTTGCTGGGTAGTCCCAAGCACATAGTAAGAAAGCTGCAGCCTGATTAAACCATAGCAAGTGTTTCCTTTTGGTATAGACAGACAACAAAGCCAATTGCCCAATAGTCAGAATCATCAGACTCAAATATACTGAGCATTAAGGATAGAAGAAGGGTATGGGATGTGGGATAGCGGCTCTGGGCAGTGGGAGAATTGCATATAGCATTTGGGTGACGTGTGTGCATGAGAGAAGGAGTTTTAGCTGGCAAATTTGAACAAAAATATATGCTTTTCACAATAGTCCTTATGTAGATCTTTATGTGTATAAACTATGCTGATTTGCAAGTATATATTTGTTCACAGTAACAGTAGCTATTTGCTTATTATAAATAAGAATAGTGGCAGTGTATTTCAAGGGTGACAGATGTGTGTAATTTTTGGTGGTTGGTCAAAGTCTCACTTACCTGCCTTATATATAAACATACACACACTAACATAAAAATGTGAGGAATTTGAGGTGAGGGCTGATGAGGAGGGATTTGGGGCTTAGGAAGGGCTTGGGCAAAGTGTTGGGTGGTGGTGGCAAGAACTCTAGGGTGAAGACATGCATGAGGAGTTCATGATGCAGGAGAGGACTCAGAGCTGAGGCAGAGGGTTGCAGTGCAGGGGGTGAGGGCTCTGGCTGGGGGTACAGGCTTTGGTGTAGACTGGGATAAAGGATGACCCTAACCCTAACCCACCTTGCCTCCCCAGTGATGGGTGCCGGGGGGAGGCTGCCATTACATGTACATCTCCTTCCCATCTGCTGCCCCTCACTGTGGCCTCTTTGGGGTTAGTTAAAGAGGCTGCCTCTTGCCCAGCATGAGGCAAGAGCCAAGACTACAGGTAGCTCCCTGTGCTTGTAGAGGGTCCCACTGGAAAAGGGAAAGCTCCATCTATCTGAGGTGGAAGGGCAGGTTCAGGATCAGCCTGTGGGCCCTACGTCCTAGGATCCTGCGGCGGCAGCTGGCAGAGTACAACAGGGATGCTCAGGAATGGCAGACGGTGTCACAGGAGAGGCTCACCCTGGAATACTGCTGAAGTGTAGGCACCATAGGCCCATATAACTTGCTGCTCCTAGTCTATTAATTTGTCTTTCCAAAACTTTATGACCACTCAGAAGCCAGGCCAACATGTAAACAAACTAAAAACCTTTAAAAGGTTCCAAGAATATCTCATTCAATAATTTCTCTTTAAGCCTTCCCACTCCAATCCCTATTATCACCTTATTTTATGTATTTTGTAATTTGCTTATGCAAATCCACATATAAGGAAGGTTACTTACCATGAAATCTTCCATTTCTAACTACATACACTATCTATTTTAGTACACAGTCCTCTTTCTTTTTTCTCACGGGTTATATTAATCCGCTCTTTCAATTTTCTAGTCTTTTAAAAATCAGACTGAGTGATACAGTACTCTGAGTATCTTAAAGAAATTAAAGTTAATTATGTTGTGTTTGCTTGGAAGCCAGGATGAACAGCTTGTGTACTGACTTGGGGTGTCACTGACAGTACAAATTAAGAAACTGGGAACAAGAATAGTAAATTTTCATGAATCCATGGCATTTCTCAAAAACAAAATAAGTGACAGGAAATGAAACCGTATCTACCTAAATGTCTTAATGCCATCATTAAATAGTTATATAATCTCCTCTGAAAAAGAAAGAGTCATACAAAGTAATAATCAAAATACTAGTAATTTAATAATAGATTTGTACCTTCAATCAGTAGTTCTTGTCCGTGACTACCCAACAGCGTACGGGACAAAAAAGGGGCAAAGTCTACAAAAATTTCACGCAGGAGTGGAGCCACCTTTTCTAAAGCTCTTTCCAGCTTTGCTGTAATGCTGTTGAAAACAAAACACGAGAGTTGAAGGCAAATACCAGCTGTTAAATGATATCACATCATGTCTATTTACTAATCAATGCTGTAAAAATCAGTGTCTTCTGATAATCACGACTGTGATTTGATTAACACGGACAACAAAAATATTTAAATGCAGTATTTAAGTTAGCAAAAAACTAACTCATATCCATCTTAGGAAATGACTGCCTCACTAAATTACCCGGGCTTTATTTGCATCTTCCCGTCCGCGCACCATTTTTAAATCCCCTTAGTCCGAACTAACTGATCGGGGCTACACTCAGCAGTTAAACACTAATTTGAACTAAGGACTTAGTTCGAGTTAACGTTTGACTGCCGCATGTAGCCGTGGGCAGTTAGTTCGGACTAAGGGGATTTAGAAATGGTGCCCGGACAGGAAGAAGCAAATAAAGCCTGGGATATTTAAATGTAGACATACCCTAACAGCTTTATTTGGGCATAAGCTTTTGTGAGTAAAACCCATTTTGTCAGATGCATTGATGTATAAATTACAGAAGCAGGGATATTACATATAGATATATATAGAGAGAGATAGATAGATTGATAGATACACACACACACACACACACACACAGGTATAACAAAAGGAGGAAGGGAGTTATCAAGTGTAGGACTAGAGTTAAAGAGGTCATTCAGTCAGAGTGGATGTGACTCACTCCCAGCAGCAAATGGAGAGGTGTGAATCAGCTGCTGCAAGCGAGCCACATCCATCCTGTTTTTATATATCCCTGACTCTGTAATTTCTCCATGCATCACTCCACAAAAGCTTATGCCCAAATAAATCTGTTAGTCTTTAAGGTGCCACTGGACTCATTGTTTCTAATGTTTCCTGTATTAAAAGACAATGATTTTACTGCAGAAACTTACAGTAGTGAGCTATAAACCTCAATGAGTTTACCCTTTAAGTACAGAAAATTCAATTAAAAAATGAAAATACTGCAGTGTGGAAAAAGTCCAACTTTTAAGTGTTCTCACTGTATGCAATGTTTTTTCCCCCAAATGAGCTTTCATATCTGTGAGGCTAGAACTTTCAATATTGAAATAACTAAACTGGATGTGTCCAATTTCACCAGAACCTATTCCTCCTCTTTTACATCACCTTCCATAACGAAGAGTCTAACAACAAATCAAAATTAGATTGTTTATCCTGCTTGTGTTATACAAACAAACAGAATATCAAAAGTTGCATTTTAAATATCCCCAAAATAATAGGAATGTGCACCGGCAGTTGAACTGCAGCCACAACTTTGCACTCTCCTCAGAGATGCAATATTTCATCACTTTTCATAACACTTTAGAAGCATGAAAATCATATTTTAATGGCAAAGACCACCTTACAAAAATGTTCTTGCTTTCTTGATAAACTTTCAGATACTAAATCTATATTTGATGTGATAAGCAAAGTGGTCCACGTGATAGGGAACTGGAGTGAGAGTCAGAAGACCTGGATTCTCCTCCCTGGCGTTGCTACTTATAAGGTGTGTAACCCAGGGCAAGATGTTTCATCTTTGAACCAATGTTTTCAGATTCTCCCCCTCTGTCTTGTCAATTTAGATGGTAAGTCTTTTGGAGCAGAGACTATTTCTCAGTATTTGTACACCACCTACTTTTATGGATGCTTCCTTTGTCTAGAGCAGTGGTTTCCAAACTGTGGGATACATCCTCATAACAGGAATCTTCAGAGGGCATGCTGCCCGCAACCCAGCTCTGTCCTCATTCCCTCACCACCCACAAGCCAGCTCCACTTCTAGCCCTAGCTCCTCCCTCATCCCCTGTACTGCCTCCAGCTCTGCCTTTCAAACCAAGCTCCTCTGTTGAACCAACTGGAGAGAATCTAATGCTGGGGGGGGGGGGGAAGGAGGCACACCTCAGAAAAAATTTGGGTATCACTGGTACAGAGTTCCAAATTTCGCAGGTGCTATTAAATACTCAGCAAGTTCTACTCCATTGTGACTGTAATCACTTGATCTTCTCCATGCATGTAAATCCAGAAAAGCCACTGCTGCCTTCTCTTTCAAATCTGTACTAAAGAGTCAAAATACTTTGTATTTCCCACAACAGATCAATAATTACTTTAAAAACACAAAAGGAAACTAGGTTTTTCCTTTTTTGGGCTTTTAGTAGACTCTGCCTTTGGACTGCCTGCCACTGGGGGCAAAAAAACTTTTTTTTTTTTTTTTGCTTCTTTGCTTTTTTTTACAGCACTGAGAAATAGTTAAGAATAATAATGTTAAGTGCTGAGATTTTAAATACGGGCAGAAACTAAAATTATGATACCTTCCATGGTGATTTTTGAGTTTTCAAATATAGAAATATATATAAAGTTCATATGAAAGTCCTTAACTTATAATACAGAACAGATGCCATTAGAAGAGATCAGAAGCTCTCTTCCAACAACTCAAAATCACTTTGATTCTTTTCTTGCAGTGCATTGCACCACTCCTTGAACTAACAAATTCAGATACTTGATTTGCAGAGCTCCACAGCTGCTGCTAGAGATTAAGGAGGAAAAACACAACACTACAAATCCCACTAATATTTATTTGCTTCACTGCAGATATACTCATAACTCCTGAGTTTGGAGTTTACTTCACCTTGAAAACAAAGTGAAATTTAAGTGTACCATGCTGATGTCAGTGTATGCAGGATCTGAATGAATGCTTCACTGACACTAGTTGGGAAGAGACTCTGGGTGTGTTTATATACAGACAGTTCGCTTCTGTCTTGCTTAGATCTGTTAGATATTCAGATGATAGAGCAGTGTTTTGCAATTTGGCTGCTGTCACAAACCATGTTAATCCTAATTGCAGGAATTGTGAAATATGGTAACTAATGTTGGTAATTTTTGTGGGAAGACAGAAAAGACAGATTGTTCTTAACCTGTTTCAGAGGAGGGAACCACAGGAAGTTTAAAGAACCTTGGGTGGACAAGGGCTCTAATACCAGAGCTCTGTGGGGTTAAGCGGAGAGGTCAGAAACTCTCAACCTGTTTCCGTCCACTGTTCCAAGAGCGCTAAATAGGCCCCCTTAGGAGCAACTTTTTTTATTTTAAACTAGCACATTTATCCAACATTGCTCGGATCCTTAACTCAATTTCTGGGGGAGGAGAGAAAGGAAAATGTATATACAGGCAGTCCCCGAGTTACGCGGATCCGACTTATGTCGGATCTGCACTTACGAACGGGGCTCTCTCGGCCCGGAGCTCGCAGGCAGCGGGACTGCCCAGAGCGCAGCGGTCCCGCCACCTCGACCTCCGGGGCGAGAAAAGCTGCTCCGGGTGCCCCTGGTCTGCTGGGGATGGTCCCCAGCAGACCAGAGGCACCGGGAGCAAAGCCGCAG